TGCTTAAGTTAGCCGATCTAATGAGTAAGAAAGCAGAGAGATTGAGAGAATCAGAGAGCTAATTTGCACATAATCGGGCATACCTTGTGAAGGCATGGGGGTGCCTTTATATAGGCTTTGGGGTCCAGGAGAGGTGTTTGAGATATCCGAGGGCAATAAGGATTACTGGCCCATTATCTTTGGGGTACATTCTACCGGCATTGATGATGTTCCTCATCTACTTCCCTGTGAAGTGGATGGAACTAGGGTCATCGTCCCTGCTAGGTGGGCAATGTGCCACTGTTTATTTCGGAAGCGATAGGCGTGTGAATTGGATAAAAAACAGCCTGACGTGTAGGTCGGTACCCTGGATGTTGGCTAGCTACTTGGGTCCTTGGCTGCCCATGTCGGGGAGGACAAGCCAGTATCCAAAGTCATCAACTCGCTTCTCCAAGGTATATTCTTATACTTAATCAAACCAATTGGTGTCAATCAAAGCCTTTCTGGTATCTGCCCATGTTGGGGAGGACAAGCCGATATCCGGTATCCAAAGTCATCAGCCACCAACTAATGGTGGCTCAATTAGTATATTCTTATATTATATTTATATAGAATATAAAAATATATTTTTATATTCTATAATATATACATATATGTATGTATATGTATATATATGTATGCATATATTAATCAATCCAAATTCATGAGCCTTCAAGCCAAACTTTTTATTGATTGAGCTCAAATTCGATTAGACTCAAACTCGAATCAAACCTAATTGAATTCGAACCCAAACTATTTAATTAGAGCTCCATTCAATTATAGCCTTATTTCGAAACTTGGTAAAATATTTTGCACTATATTTTATACCGGAACGCTTAAATTCTTCATCTATGATGTGTTTCAAATGCCATGATCCAAGTTAAAAATGTTCTAACCTGAAACACCATGGTACCAAATACAAGTACACAACCCTAATTAGCTAGTGAGGGCATATGAGATATTGTTTGACATATTTCTGAAAAGGGCAGGCTAACCAATCTCTTAGGTGTGAGTGAGTCGGTGTCGGTGGTGTGGGTGGCCCTATTCCTCCAACTGCGGAATACGGCGAGCCATGGGCCCAAAAACTTTATCTACGTGTATGTAGATCCATATCTCAAGACTCTTTACATTCCTACTTTACTCAAAAATCCAAAAATGCAAATCTTGACCCCGTCCAAGCTAGTCAGATTGGACCAAATTGAGCCTAATCATATCCAGCCCATAGCCACGAGGATACCCATTACTTTTACATGCAGATTGCTGAGTTCACAGTCAAGAAGATGGGACGATAAAAGAAGGTAATAGGAAGCTGGGTTTCTTTGAGACACAAACCAAAACAGTTGGTGGATATTGTCTTTCTTTTGCAAACGAGGTGAAGAAAAGAAAGTGACTTTGGAAGGGATAGAAGGATAAGAGTACTTGTGTCTCAATCACCACGTATTCTATTCTTTATCCACTTACCAACACTTTCCCATTTTCTTTTGGATTTCCCACCAAAACATTAAAATGGAGATAATAGGTAAAGAGGGTTTCATTAAATGCTTAAAATGGAGAAAAAAACACCCTCTCAGCCACCATTAATTGTTAGGCCAGAGCACATTAGGGAGAAAAGGGTCCTTGTGGGGTACAACATGAAAATAGTGTCAAGAATAAAGCTGAAAAGAAGAATTTGTTGAATTTACATTGGCGTCCCACACAACGTGCTTCACCAGTGCCCCATTCGGAACATCTCCCATATTTGTCACAGGGAGATGTTCCCAATACACGGTTGGAATGCGAATTCGAATTTGTTTTAGCCTCATCCACAGGATTCCTTTGATAAACTTTCTGATGGTAGATTAGTACTTAAGAGCTAGGATGTCTGGGAGGCAACTGGCTAATTAAATTGTGTGTCACAATCAATTCATAAGCAAGGAGGGTAGCTATATTTCTCTTGGAGCAAGTCCCTATGTCTCTTCCATACACCTCACATGCCTTTAAAGGCTGAAGCCTACCACCAGTGATTCTGTCACCCCCACCACCATCGATGTTAATTTGTTCTAATTTGTCCGTTCTGTAACTCAGTTTATACCATGCATGCATGTGACAGTAATTAATGGGCTAAAGCTACAAGTGTTACAACCTTTTCAACCGCAATAACACTTTACTTCTGGGGTTCTTCTCATGCTGTCAATGCCATCTGGTATTCTGATTTCTGGTGCATTACTTCATTGGAAAACCGATCAAAGCTAGCTACTGTTCGTCGATCATTCTTCATTCATGGGTGAGAGGAGATGAAACCCAAACCTAATATGGTGTCTCCAGTCATGGCATACATGGAATTCTCGGATTAGGCGTCTCCAAACCTAATAAGATGACATTCATTAATAGAAATTATTATTATTATTATCCAAAATGAAGAATACCATAACAAAATTGTCAGAACACCTTTAGTTGATGAAGAAGAAAATGGTAGAGGTGTAAAACAGAGGCCGGGCACGGCCTATGGCTCGCGTCGTGCCGGCCCGTGAGCCGTGCGGCTCTCTCTAGGGATAATTTGGGGGTCAGTCTGGCATGGCTCACGAGGCCATGACCTAAGCCTGTGCGGGCCTATGCCATGTCATGTCGTGCCACGGGCCTGGGTCGGGCAGGCTATAGGTCGTGCTGGGCTGCGCCACAAGCCAGGCCTTGGGCATGAGCCGAATCGGGCCAGATTTTTTTCGTTTTTTGACATTTTTGATTTTTTTGTTAAGTAAAACTAAAATATTTAATAGGGCTATTTATAGGAATTGAAAATAATTCAATTGCCCAAAATACCCTAAAAATAGTTGTTTTTAAGTTGTTGGGAGGGGTATTTTGGTCATTGTAAAATTATTTATCACTTTACTCAAAATGGCTCCCAAACTAGTTGTTATATAGCTGTTGGGGGGCATTTATGTCATTCTTTCTGTTCTCATCCCAAAATACATAAATACCCCCTATATAGCTATTGGGGGTATTTCTGTAAAAAAACTCCCCAAAAAGTTGGATGGGCCGAGCACGGCCCGCAGACCATGCCATGCCGACCTGTGACTGGCTGTGCCAGGGCTGGGCCGCAAGCAACACGACATGCATAGTTGTGCCATACTATATTGGCCCGTGGACCAGAAACCTCAGGCCTAGCACGGCTCGGACCATCGTGCCATCGTGTCGTGCTATGCCGGGCCAACCAAAATTCGTGGCCTGGCACGACCCGTTACACCTCTAAGTCCATTTATGCAGTAGTACTCTTTTCTTTTCTTTTCCAAAACCTTGAAAGATAAATCCAAAGTGACCTTAAACATAGAAAAAAGTTGACAGTAAATCCACCAAACTAAAAAACCCAAGGAAAAAAATCAAAAAATCAAGTTCAAAGTTCCTCTTTGAAACAAAGCTAAACATACATGCAATCAAAGAAAGAGACAAAGTAGATCATCTTGTAAGAAAAAAAAAAACATTGCACAAAAAAAAACCAAAGAAAAAACAAAATGGTAGTAAACCCTAGACTGTTTTGGAGGATCTTGAAGAAGAAGACCAAACACAAA